TGATAATCATAGCTGATTAAAAAAAAAAAAAAAAACACGTATACATGACATGGACATTCATATTGGTTAGCTCACTTCATTCGGCTATCATCACTTTTATGTAGATATTTATTTCAGATTTTTTTTTAACAAATAAAATGTGTCACGGATAATGTGTTGGCATAAAGGTTTAGACCTGAAATCTTCCAAATGCCCTTCGAATCATACATGATTGTGCTAAGCTGCGTGATGAGTATGAAACGTTAACATTAGATCATTCATTTTTGCATCGACTGGCAGTTCAGCTAGGGTTTCTCGATTCGTTTTCACTTCTCGCTGTCGCTTGGCTGGTATTCCCCCTGCCGTTTTGTAGGAAATCGGACTATGTCGCGTAGCGGAAGCGTTGAACGGAAATGGTTGACTGCTCGAAGAAAGTACAAGGATTTGTACTACTCTTTTGGCTCCAAACCAATAATGGAGTGGCAATAATGGAGTCAAGCTAGCCTCAATAATTCTAGGACCAATAGTGCATAAACTTGGCCCTTTGTACCCCATACTCGCATTCTCACTTGGGGAACAACAATTACCATCACTAACATAATAATATCAAATTTTATAGTCATGCATTTTGTGAGAGTAGGACCCCGTTCCATTTCTTTCTCCTTTCCATCTTCCCTTTCCATTTCATTCCTCTTTTCATCCTGATCCATTTGGGTTTTATCTCATTCCATTTGGATTCCTATTTCTCCTTTTCCATAAAACCTTTGTTTATCATGTTATTATCATTATATCTACTCGGATGTACTGGTGCGCTATATCTAGCGTAATCCTGCCGTAATCCCTTAAAGCCAATAGCCTCGCGTGGCTATACGCAGGGTGATTATATTTTCTAGAAGGGTCTATTCCCTTGGATAGGATAAACCTGGTTACCTGATGTACTTTGGAAGTATAAAAGCGCCTTGTACTGATCGATAGTGCACCTTTCCTCGACACATTCGATCCTATGACACTTGGTAATCAGAGCTTTTTTCACTCGGCCGCGCTCAGCTAAGCAGCAGCAGCGGGACTCCTGCCTCGAAAAACCGCCGGGGGCGACCAATTCGACGCCGATTCTGGTAAGCACCAGCTCCGCGTTTTCGAATTACCCCCCCCGCGCGTGTTTTGAACAGGATGGCAACTTCGACAACGCCGAAGTTACCCAGCAGCTCTTCGCGAGCATCGCAGCCCTTCAGGAGGAGATGCGAGCGGATCGCGAAGCGTGGCGAAACGAGTTCGAGCGAGTAACTCGACTCGCCGGAGCGCAACACGAAACGACAACGGCAAGGACGCAGCAGTCGCAGCAGTTTCTCGAGGCTCCGAAACCGCGCCCACCTGAGCCGTTCGATCCGAGCGATCGAAACTCCGACGTCCGCAGATGGATCGCCGGCATGGAGATCTACTTCGCAGCCGTCGGATGGAGCTCGCCAGTCTGGGACGGTCAACGCGTACGACTCGCGGCGACGCTGATGCGAGGGCCGGCACTCGAGTGGATCGGCGGTAACAGCACCTTCATCCACGGCGAAGCCACGTGGCAGCAGTTCCGCACCGACCTGCTGAAACGTTTCGAGCCGATAAATTCGGGTTTCCTTGCCGGGAAAAAATTCATCGCCATCGATGTTCGGGAGTGTAGCACAGTACACGCAGCAGATGGAAGAATTTTATAACCGATTCCCGACGTGACCGAAGGGGAAAAAGTACAATCGTACTTCGCCGGGCTGAAGACCGAAGTCAAACGACAAGTGGCAGCGACAAACTACGCGAGTTACAGTGACGTCGTATCGGCCGCGGAACGCTTCGACATGGTCAACGCCGGGACACGACGGACGCACGTCGGCAGTACGCGACAGGGCGACCGCTCGGCTCACCCCACGTTCGCCGACCCGATGGAAGTCGACAAGTTCGAAGGGCGGCCACGTCCGAAAAACACCAACTTCACGTGTGATTTTTGCGGGGTGCCGGGTCATCGAATCTTCGACTGCAACAAAATGAAAGCCGCACCGCCTGAGTATCGGGCACGCAAGCAGTGGCGGAAATCCTTCGGCCAATCAGAAGCCAAAAAACGGGACTCGCGAGTAATTGCGGATCTAGCTGGCGAAAAAGAAAAGATCCGAAAGCGGCCGGAGACTTCCGGAAAAATCAACTTCGACGCAGCTGATTCGACGCGAACATGAGAAAATGATAGGGAAAAATCTCCACCCACGACCAGTCTTTGCCAGAGGAATTCGCCGAGGAAAAATCTAACTCCACGAAAAAAAGACTCTACCGAGACGGGGAAACTCCTGGAAGACCAAAAAAATTATAAGGATTCGTTAAAGTTATCTTATAAAGATGCTTTAATGAAAACTTGTAATTCTCGAGGGGCTAGAGCCTTGGAGAAATTACGGGAGGGACAGCAGAAAATTGTGGAGATCATACCGGTACCAGAGAACTTGGGGACCAAATTAAGGAGTGTGGAAAGAAGCCGACCTTTCCACGGAGTCAACGTCCTCTCCCGACACCAGCCCACAGCGACTACCCGTTCCCCAGGGAAGACGTCGGTGGAGCTGAAGTAGCTCAAAAGGAAGCTGGGGGTCTACAAGAAGCTGCAAAAATCCCGAACTCCTTCTTCGGATGCATCCAACTCGGCAACTTCGTCAACGACACGAACAGTCGTCACGGGAACTCCGGGCCCTGGAGAAGAGCCTTTCTCCAAGCAGCCTCGGCTAGCTGCCAGCTCAGGAGTAGGAAGCAACGAATATTGGGATGTACCCTATGACCCAATCAATGAAACTATCTATGGGTACTCCGAGCAACGCCTGCCCCTCATGCTCGAGGTCATCTGCGAAGGACGACGCCTCCAAGCACTCATGGACAGCAGAGCATCGCACACCGTATGCGATAAGGCAACCATCGACCGACTTCGAGAAGAGTACAAGCCATCAGCATTTTCTGCAACAATGGTGGACGGCAGCAAGTTACCAGTGTACGGCGAAGCAGTGTTACACCTACAAATCGGTCCACTGCGCTGGAAACCTGCTCTCCCCATCACCAATATAAAAGGGCTTGACCTGATCTTCGGGCGAGATTTCCTAAAACGATTCAACCCCGAGATCAACTGGGTAAACCGCACTGCAAGCATCTACAACAAAGGAAGGAGAGTCCAGCTACCCAACTGGGCCGATACAGGAGAGATCCCAGTGGAGACACTCGCCAGATTCGAGAAGGACGTGAACTGAACCAACACCGGGTTCCTGGCGATAGCAACGGAAGTGGGGAATGTCGGAGAGAAAGCCTCGGAACCACCAGAAAAAATCAAGGACTTACTGAAGGGGTTCCAAGACATTCTTCCCAACGACCTCCCGGACGAGCTACCGTCATACCGAACGCATCAACACGAGATCGTGGAGGAACCAGGTTCGAAACCGACCTTCCGAGCACCATATCAGCTCAGCCCCACAGAACTAGCCAACATGAAGAAGCAGATCGAATATCTCCTCGCCAAAGGACTCATCCGACCATCCACTTCACCGTACGGTGCCCCAGTACTCTTCACACCGAAACCGGACGGAAGCCTACGCATGTGCATCGACTACCGATCTCTCAACAAGCAGACCATCAAGAACAAGTACCCGATTCCACGAATCGACGATCTGCTCGACCAGCTTCAGGGAGCCACGGTATTTTCAAAATTAGATCTGCGGTCCGGATACTGGCAGACAAGAATGGCGGACGATTCCATTCACAAAACGGCCTTCCGAACTCGGTACGGATTGTACGAGTATCTGGTGATGCTGTTCGAACTCACCAACGCACCTGCAACGTTCCAAGCAGAGATGAATCACATCCTACGCCCACTCTTGGACGAATGCGTGGTGGTGTACCTCGTCTACTCGCGCGACATGCAACAACACGTCGAACACTTACGACGCGTCTTCGAGATTCTTCGACGAGAACGCTTCTACGTCAAACTATCCAAGAGCGACTTCGCCCTCAAGAAAGTCCAATTTCTTGGACATATCGTAAGCGCTCAAGGAGTTCACGTCAACCCCAAGAAAATCGAAGCCGTACGTACGTGGAAGACACCCGAGAATGTGAAAGAGTTACAGCAGTTCCTTGGCTTCGCTAACTACTACAACAGGTTCGTGCCGCAATACGCGAAAATCACCGCGCCACTCACGAATCTGCTAAAAAAGAACACGCCCTGTAAATGGGAGCCGAAGCACCAGGAAGCCGTGGAGCAGCTGAAGCAAGCACTCACGTCCGCACCCGTACTCATCTTGCCAAACCCCGAACGCGACTACGTTATCAAAGCTGACGCCATCGACCAGGTAGTGGGAGCAGTCTTGATGCAAGACCAGGGGAATGGACTGCAACCAATCGCCTATCTCAGCAAGAAACTATACGGGGCAGAACTCAACTATCCGATACATGACAAGGAGGCCCTGGCTATCATCATCGCCTTCAAAACGTGGAGATGCAATCTCGAAGGACGCAAGACGACAGTAGACACCGACCATTGCAGCCTAAAATATTTGAAGACGCAACCAAGCCTCTCCAGGCGACAGGTTTGGTGGATCGAGTTCCTTGAGACGCACTTCCACTACCACATCGTGTACAAGCCTGGCCATAAAAACACGTTGCCGATGCGCTTAGCCGGCCTGCACACGTTGCCGCTATCCAAGTTGAAGGGATGAATCCACTCCTCAAGGGACTCTTCACACACGGGTACACCATCGACCCCGAAATTCCCTTGGCAGAAAAGCGACATCTGCTACAGTGGGACTACGACATCGCGTACCGGAAAGGATCAACGAAGATCTGGGTACCTAATTACCCTCCATTGCGCCACTTACTACTCGAAGAATACCACGACGTCCTGTACGCGGGACACTTCGGTAGCAACAAGACGCTCACCGGTATCGCCAAACACTACTACTGGCCCCAGATGGCAGATGACGTACATAAATTCGTCATCTCATGCACTACATGTGAGCGAATGAAGAGCAGCAAGCAAAAAAAGGCGGGTCTGCTACAGCCTCTTCCTGTCCCAGAATAGCCATTGCAAGTGGTAAGCCTAGACTTCATCACTGGGCTACCCACTACCACAAGCGGTCATGACGCGATCCTCGTCGTCATTGACAAGTTCTGCAAAATGGGACACTTCATCCCGACACACACGACAGCACGCACCGAGGAGATGGCACAACTCTTTGTTCGCTACATGATCTCACAACATGGCATTCCGACCACACTCATGTCCGACTGAGACCCCAAGTTCACCAGCAAGTTCTGGAAGGAACTAATGTCTCTGCTCGGGACCAAACTCGCCATGTCATCCGCCTACCATCCGCAGACAGATGGGCTGTCACAGGATCGAATGTCCCGAGGAAAGGTTTGCTCAATGTTGCACTATCAATCAGTACAAGGTGCTTTTATACTTCCAGAGTACATCAGGTAACCAGGTTTATCCTATCCAAAGGAAATAGACCCTTCTAGAAATAGAATCACCCTGCGTATAGCCACGCGAGGCTATTGGCTTTAAGGGATTACGGCAGGATTACGCTAGATATAGCGCGCCAGTACATCCCGAGCCTGGTCGGTGATATACTTATAATAACAGGATAAACCAAAGGATAATGGAAAAGGAGGAATAGGAAACCAAATGAGATAAGATAAAGACCAAATGAATCAGGATAAAAAGAGGAATGAAATAGAAAGGAAATATGGAAAAGGGAAATTGGTGTAACGAGGTCGTACTCTCACACTTCCCCCCCTCAAAGCTGGGTGGTAGACGTAACACCCTACTTGACAAGGTAGTCGCGAAGAGGACGACGGGCGTTACCCATGTCGGATTCAGAGACGCAGCCTCAGAAGTATCATAACCCTTCCAGCAAAGAAGAAGCTCCAGAGTGCCAGTCTGACGATGACGGTGTCCAAGTACATAGTTGTCCCATGGCGTGGATGAACACGGGCGACGACAGTGGTTGGCATTCGGTATAGAGCGTGTTTGGTCTTGAGAGGGTTTAAGAAGCTGGTATGGAAGGTGTTATGGATTTTCCAAGAGGCTGGTAAGCGGAAGCGGAAGGTGAATGAAGTGACCTTTGCTTCAAAGAGGATAGTCCCGCAGAAGCAAGGTTGAAGCTTGGATGGAAGTTGGTTGATGTCGAGATTATGGTCTCGAGAAGGGTAGTGATGAGTTGCCAAGTGCTTGTGCTGATGTTGGATGTCCAAGAGGTGCTTGTGTGGTCGATGTACAAGATGGTGGACGATGGCGATGAAATCGGAAGCCAGTTGGACTGTGGTCGGGATGAAATCATGAGCGGGTTGGACTGTTGCTGGTATGGTTAGCTGTTGTGGTGTGATCAGGTGGCGTCCGTAACAGAGGAAGTACAGTGTCTGTCCAGTAGCGGCGTCAGGAGCATACTTGTAGGCAAACTCCAGGACGGGCAGATGCAGGTCGGAGTTGGAGATGTGAATGGTTGGAACAGTGTGCTGTAACGTGCAGATGAGTGGCTATGTTGTCCGAACTGTGCATGCTGTTACCCGCATCTGGTCCACGTGTGAAGATCACCAGGTGTTGGAGGTATGGCAGTCATGTCATAGTACAGCTTCTGTCGAGCTGGTCCATGCCTTAGTGTTGTCGCGAGTCGTACCCACTGGGCATCGTAGTGCTGCGGAATGGAGAGCAGAATCACTAGTAGTAACCCTGTCCACCACGCGGTCTGCTAGTCACACTGCCTTGCATACAACAGCGCATGCAAAATGCTGCTCAGCGTATCCCTTGTTTTCAAAACCATGCGAGGGGTTGGTACCACAAATGCGGAGCTGGTAACTTCCAGAATCGGCGCCAAGTAGTTTCCCTCGGTGGTTGCTCACGCAAGGAATCTCAGCTGCGTAGATATCCCACGGTGATGGGTTAGGACATCTGGGAATGTTATGGGTATTCCCAAGTAATCCTTTCCCACTTCCAAATGGGCATTGCTGATAGCCAATCCAGTATGACCTTATGCACTCCCAGTTTAGCACGGAGGCCCTCGGTAGGCATCGGTGTCAGGGCGCATATATCAGGATAGGTCTTCTGGTGCCATCATGTGTTGTCTCATTCTGTTACTGTCCTTGAAGTAGCGATGATGTCGAAGAAGTCTCAGCTACTCAGCATCGGTGTTGAAGTCTTCTCCATTTCGGCAAACAGGGGTGTTGTTGGAGATACGCGGAGTCCACTATCCGGAGTGGCGTCGGCGCTCCATTTCACGCCTATCTGCTTCCGTGGAGTTGGTGCTGGTAATGGATTGGTTGCGACGCAGGTTTTATGACTTTGAGGAAAGCCATAGGCCATGAGGACTGTATACCGGTAGAGTACCGTGGTCCTCTTATCCTCATAAGAGCAAATATCTGCTGCTCTTGAGGGTATATGGCATTGCCATATTATTTCCTCGCATAGTGGTATCTCCTTCCCACTAGCTGGAAATCATATTACTGTGCCTGACCAGGACTTTACGATCATACTGGAATATAATCCAGCGTTATCTCCATTGAGCGGAGAATGATCCATCAGGGTTTGGATATGACTGTTGTGTCGAGTCTTCTGCTGCGGCGGCGGCGGCGGTTGCGACGATGGCGACGGCGGCAGCTGCTGCAGAGAATTCTCTTAACTCGTACCGGTTGAAGGAGAATCCATCAACTCCCTCTTTCCAGTAGAGTGTTCCTGATGGGTGTAACAGGCGTAACTACCAGGAACACGTGCACATTAGTACACATGTGTTGCTCCATTGCTGCCGATGATTGTTTCATTTGAGGGTGTGAAGAGAAATTTGCTTCTCCCCTCAATGTATCCACGGGTAGCAATTCCTGGTATGCTCATCCGTGCCTCCGATGTACGGTCGGTAGAGCGCGTGATCGTGTTGTAGTAGTCCGCATCTCCCTCATTTGTTGACACCTCGTGTTGCTTGACGTTCTCCTGCATCGTCGAAGTTACGCTGATGCTTGTAACGCTTCGGCTTCTGGTAGAATCGCCTCCAATGCATGTGCCGTAGGGTCGCTAGTGAACAAGTACTTGCCGGATTAGAGGTTAATTACTCCTCAATCTGTCAAGCATCGTGACGTGCACGGAATTTTCTTCCACGCAGGTCATTAACACCTGGAATCGCGACGCATGATTGGTGTGTCGCCTCGTGAGGTCGATGTTGAGACTGCTCCAATCAATCACTTCGGATGGCTGAGATTCTTGATGAAGATGAATCGTTCAGCTCCTGTTACAAAGTAGTGTCTCGCTGGCCTTGACGAGACGGGTTCACTGCGTCGTCGTTGCGTGCAAAATCTGCTCCTTCGCAGCAACTTGAACTTGGGAGCATTGCAAGAGAAAACGGCTACTTCTCTGCAATCCCATAGGTTGTCGATCAATTTGTATGAAGAAGTGTCTCGTGGATGGAGAACATGTCTTCACGCAGCTCCATTGTTTTTCCTGGGTGAAGATCCCGTCGTGTTGATGTCGATCCATTTTTAACGAAGATGACTTCGTCGAAATAAATCGATCGTTATCGACACTAGTTAGAAGATGCGTCGATTGTGCAGTCGCTGGTCACGAATGTTGTCTCCATGATGATGATTTCCATAGTGTAGTTTCCGCTGCATTCGTGCCGTTGATTCCGCACCGATCCGACGATCCACGTTCTCCTGTCAATTTTCTGCTTACAGTTATTACCAAGTAGGTAATTCTTCGGCAGATTTCTGACTGTGCATATACTTTTCCGCCATATTTGTGACCAAATGGAGGAATTCGAATTTGGTCATCCAGCTGATGTCAACGATGTCGAAGGCGGCTGATTTCTGGTTCTGTGCGTCATTCTCCCATTGTGCAGAAGTCGTGCTCCATCTCGTCCGTTGAAGTAGAAGTCGATCCGACGGTCCAAACTCCAAGCGATCTGAGGATACTCCTGAGTCGCGTTCAGCAGCTTTCGGCGCCCGGGTTGACTCGTTTCCTGCAGCAATTCTCGGTCGTCGATGTCGGCTGTCGAACGATCGGACGACCACAAGCGGTCATGACGCGATCCTCGTCGTCATTGACAAGTTCTCCAAAATGGGACACTTCATCCCGACACACACGACAGCACGCACCGAGGAGATGGCACAACTCTTTGTTCGCTACATGATCTCACAACATGGCATTCCGACCACACTCATGTCCGACTGAGACCCCAAGATCACCAGCAAGTTCTGGAAGGAACTAATGTCTCTGCTCGGGACCAAACTCGCCATGTCATCCGCCTACCATCCGCAGACAGATGGACTGTCACAGGATCGAATGTCCCGAGGAAAGGTTTGCTCAATGTTGCACTATCAATCAGTACAAGGTGCTTTTATACTTCCAGAGTACATCAGGTAACCAGGTTTATCCTATCCAAAGGAAATAGACCCTTCTAGAAATAGAATCACCCTGCGTATAGCCACGCGAGGCTATTGGCTTTAAGGGATTACGGCAGGATTACGCTAGATATAGCGCGCCAGTACATCCCGAGCCTGGTCGGTGATATACTTATAATAACAGGATAAACCAAAGGATAATGGAAAAGGAGGAATAGGAAACCAAATGAGATGAGATAAAGACCAAATGAATGAGGATAAAAAGAGGAATGAAATAGAAAGGAAATATGGAAAAGGGAAATTGGTGTAACGAGGTCGTACTCTCACATGGACAGACCGAGTGCCTCAACCAAATCGTGAAGC